AAACTAAAATAACAGTTAAACCTTTTTTTTTTTGATTTACGGTATTTTCTTATTTTGATGTTTTGAGTTCTTTTGTGTTTAGAACAATATATACTAATTTTTAAAGTATCAAATTGAATTTTTGTTCAAAAAAATCTTTCAACTGTGACTGTAGCTTTTTTTCCCTAAAACTTTGTCTTCAAAATAAGGGTGCGTCTTATATTCCAAAAAATATGGTAGTTTAAATTTTCATAATACTTCTATTAAAAATAAGATATCTATGTGATTTTACCTTTTATAGGAATCTTCTTTTTGACAAAAAATTGCCAAACAAAATAAACCATGTGTTTTTTTAAGCTAAGTTTCCAGCTTCTAGTTGTGTTTTTGTTGTTTGTAACCTCAGGTAATGAGTTGTTTGTAACCTCATCTGTGCTTTCATTATGCTTGCATTTGCAGCTATATTTTTTGTTTGGAAAATCAGCAATATATTTTGTGAAGCTTTCATTTTCATCAGATTGTTTGTTTCTAACCTCAACTGTAAAATCAGACATTTTTTTTTTAAGCTTTCATACCCATCAGGTTGTTTGTTTGTAACCTTGGCTGTGGTTTTTGTTTTGTTTATAATATCAGCTATATATTTTGTTAAGCTTTCATTCCCATATGGGTTGTTTGTTTGTAACCTTGGCTGTGGTTTTTGTTTAGTTTGTAATATCAGCTATATATTTTGTTAAGCTTTCATCCCCATATGGGTTGTTTGTTTGTAACCTTGGCTGTGGTTTTTGTTTAGTTTGTAATATCAGCTATATATTTTTTAAGCTTTCATCCTCATCTGGTTGTTTGTTTGTAACCTTGGCTGTGGTTTTTGTTTAGTTTGTAATATCAGCTATATATTTTAAGCTTTCATCCTCATCAGGTTGTTTGTTTGTAAAATCAGCGGGTTTTTTCTTATTGTGTGAAATCAATTTATCTTGCTCTTTATACTTGCATTTTGTTTTTAGATATATTTATTTTTCCCTTTAAAGGCTCCTAAGAATTCAATGCAGCATTTATAGTCTTAGTAGGGTAAAACTGTGCTATCTTTGTCTATTTATTTTATTGTTTTACAGCAGTTGTACCAGACGCTGACTGACTACGACATCAGGTTTTACTTGTATGAACTACTGAAGGTAGTTGTTTTTCATTATTGTTTTCTGTAAAACATTGAAACTTTTACTAGATTTTGTGAAGATATTTTAATCTTAATATCTTAATTTTCTTAGATAGAGAAATTATTCTGTTTGTAAAATTCTTAAGGTTATGGTTCTTAGTTGATCAAGTTATAAAAATATTATGTAGGATTTTAGTCTTTCATGTAATATTTTATAGTTTTTGTAATCAAATTCAAAGTATTGAATTTCTCCATTTAGAACAGTAGCTGCATAATTTCAATAGTGACAGCATTTTTAGTATTCTGTGAAATACAAACTTTTTTATAACTACCAATTAAAAGCTTGAATCATAAGATTGAAATTATAGATACATTTTATTTTCATGGCCCCTTTCAACTCTATGTGCATAAGATCAAATCCATATTGGAGAATTAATGTTCGCTCTAAATTCTTTAATTCTGAATTTACTTTGTGTATCTTCATGACACCTGGTAAACTTTTATTATAGAAAACTTTGTACACAAAAAGGCAGAATTTTTTAAAAAAGTAAAATATTTCTACTATAAAAAGATTTTTCTGAATTTACTTAGTCAGTGTGACTTATTCTGACTAGTTTTGAGTGCAAGGTTATTTTATTTCCATGTTCAGAATGAAAATATTTTTTGCATCTTACAGTTTTTACATTTCATTTGCATAACCTCTAGGACATCTTAAATGAAAATCAAAAGTCTTTTTTCACTAAAACTATGTTTTATGAGTTATTTTCTCTACCCTACACTATATGGGCTTGATCTATTTGACCAATCACTACACAAGTACAAAATAAATCTAAATTATTTACCGTAAACAGCCTCAGGCTCTTAACAGTTTACACCTGTTTTCATTTAACTTTATTGTATTATTGCTCTTTCAACTGTATCTAAGTACCACAAATAGAAATAAATCACCCAACATGAGTGCAGAGAATTTAGAGTAAACAAAATTTCAGGTTACATCATGCAACTTTTAATTATATAGGTTCCTTGTGCATTCCTTGAGGTAAAAAATTATTTATTTTCAAGAGTTACTTTGTTAAAAATATATAAATAACAAATTACATCAGGACTGAGTTGGATGTTCAAAATATCATTCATATAGCCTTCAGATATACATTTTGAAACACAATAATTCAAACAGTAAAACAGAATTCCCCAAATGTACCATAACTTATCTGGCTTTCTAACTAACCTATAAAAAGAATTCATTACTTACCAGCTTCAGGCTTTAGTCAGTAAAATCTGCCTGGGAAATGGTATCTTTTACCAAAATAAATTAATATAAAAATGTCATAATCCCATAGCTCCCAAAATGGCATTTATATTCGTTATACAATATACTGTTGATAAGTAAGCATGGGTAAATATATGATTTCAGAAACATTAAGGGCTGGTAGGAGCTTCTGTTATGGGAGTAATAAATGTATTGATACTTCAGAAAATACAAGAAGAAGGTTCTGATTTTAAATTCTGGCCTTTTGGTATCTATAGTTGTTATATCTAATTGATGGACATTCTGAAACCCACATAAGGGAGGAAAGAAATTGTAAAATGAATTCAAAAAAGGGAAGGGTCATGTGACACATAAAAGTAAAGATTGAGAATTTATTTAAATATCCTTTTTAAAGTAAGAAATAAAAACTTGTATTAAAATTTGAATTATAAAAATATATTTTGATGCCAGGTTTATTGAGATACCTTGATAATACAGCTATTTAATTAAGTTTTAAAAGCAACTCTATAAATGTCATGAAGTTCACACTTTGATTCCCACTTTTGCAAATAGAGTTAAAGAAAGAGCCTGTAAGGTTAAAATTAGTGTACATACATTTTATTTTAAGAACTTGTTACTTATGAGGTGGGCCTATAAAGGATCAAACAAGGCTGAAATTATACTTAGGCCAGTACTAATCTGTTTAGGTTGGAGATAAAGCATGGTCATGTGTATTTAATATGAAGTACCACCCAGCTCTGAACCAAGTTTATGTTCATGTATGGTGATCACTAAATGTGAGTGAGTAATAAGCACTGAGAAAAAAACCTTGAATTTATTTTTGGTAATTCTTAGTCTAATCAGATTGGTCTAACCTCACAGTGAGTTGAGTATCGACCTTTGTCAATTCACCTCAGAAATCACAAGTTGTGTTTTTAAAATGCCATGTGTGTGTTTTAATCAAAGGAAAAAATGTCTATTGCCATCTGTATCCTTTAATTTTATATTTTAGGATTCATGAGATGTGATCATTGACATTCAGCATATGGCATACTCTGCCAGTAATAAAAACAAATATAATAATAATAATGATAATAATTATGTTTTGCTCTTAACACCCAGTCTGCAATTCAGAGAGACATTTTTGATGGATTGATTCTCAAAAAAACAAAGCTTTCCAGTTCTCCTAATTCTGAATTGAGATTTGAATGGCTTGTGATATCTTCAATTTGAACTGCCCACCAACATGCTCAGATTTGCATAAGTTTCCAGGTTATGAGGGAGTAAAACTTGTACTTTCATGTAACATTCTACTCAGAACACGGTAGTTGTTGTACAATATCTTGTGTTTTAGCACTATAAACCCATTTTTTTCTGAAGTTTTCACAAGTTTTGTCAACAGAGATGTCAGAGGAAGTACTGCAGCATGTCTAGTCATCATTGTCCTTTTTGTGGTGGTTTCTGTTTTTGGGTTTGCAGACAAATACTCTTAAAGTGTTTGCAGGAGATAATCAGGAATAGCAGGAGCAGTAGTTAGTAGTAGCAGTAGCACCAGGGCAGCATTACCAGCAATAGCATATGAAGGAATATACACCGGTCAGTGGTTTTCTCTTTGCTTGAATTCAGTCAGGATCTGATATTCATAAGTGATTTTTATTTACCCAAACATGGTAAGCCAACATGAACACTTTTACTATTTTATGCAAGGGGAACATGGTTCGACCAACAGTCTAAACTCTGCATTTTTGTGACTGAACACTATTTGCAAACATGAATACTTTTACTATTTTATACAAGAGGAACACAGTCCGACCAACAATCTGAACTCTGCATTTTTGTGACTGAACATTATTGACCAACATGAACACTTTTACTATTTTATGCAAGAGGAACACAGTCCAGCCAACAGTCTAAACTCTGCATCTTTGTGACTGAACACTATTGAGAGGTGAGCTTTTTTTTTTTCAATAAAGTGCAGTTCTTTGAGATTAACAGATCAAGCCCATTATTGAAGATTTTTTGCTCTAACTTGAATACTGGAAATCATGATCCCTCTGTAGCCCACCCATTCTCCCAAATTCAGTCTTATCTACTTGCTGACTGGGTTTTAATGTGAAATATATATAGAAAAACACTAACTAACTGGCAACCATCACATTGTTGTTTTCTTAAATCTGGCTAAGATAATCTAATCAAAAACACCTTGGGTGTGAAAAAAAAAGGTGCAGTCAAAAACAGACTGAGCGTTCAACTTAAAGGAATGAAATAAAAATTGGCACCCAAACTGGTAGTTACACTTATAGCATTGACAAGAATTTTAAAGCAAATATTCATTCATTAGCTAGCCAGCTCACATTTTTTATTCGACTTCGGGCAAAACAAAATACATGGCCTAGCTCATTATTAAAGCTAATTGCTTAAGCTAATATGATGTGATGCTAAACATTCTTTAATTAGGAGATTTTCATAGAACTTAGCAAATTTTTGCTTAAAAGTTGGCAATGAATAATAACTTTCTACCTGTATGATTCTTTTAAAAACTTGAGCTTGAAACTGCTAAGTTTGCTTGGCCTAATCAACACTTATGTATCTGTATGTGCTTTCACCCTATAGTTTTGCTGCTATATATCAGCTGTCTTTAAAATGAAAGACAAAAACTAAAAATGGTCCACTTTTACTTTCAGGTGAAGCTGTAGTAAAAATGTTAGACGGCAGCTCACGTGAAGTTTTTCATTGACATGCACAAAAATCTTGGTTCCAAATTGAACAGTTTTTGTTAACTAACTTTGCACATGTGGTTTAAATTTGACACATAATTGTAGATAGTAAAGTTCTAACAGTGTGTCAGATTTAAAAAAAAAAATCCCTAAAAGTTAAGTATGTTTTTCTACCAAATAAAGTTTCTGTACTTGAAGACATTCAATCAAAATTGGAGATTTTATATGCTGTGTATTTCTTAATGGATTACCTTTAAATTTGGTATGTGAAGTAAGGGTCCAGTAAAGCACATCCACAGAAATTGCTGAATTATCACTCCTGTTAATAACACACAGTGTGTCCTGCGGGTTGTTTTCAACACACTAATGTGTGTGTGTCTTGATCTAGTTCATTTCAGTTTATAAACTCATTAGCTATTTCTTTTTCTTTATGTTTGTCAATTTTGTAAAAACAAATAAAGCATCAAATTAATTATATCTTTTATAGATATCTCTCTTTTTATTAAGTAATTTTTAAAAAAACTTGAACTTTTCTTGTGCTTAGGCCTTGGACTATTGTCATAGCATGGGGGTTATGCATCGAGATGTGAAACCTCACAACGTCATGATTGACCATGAGACAAGACGTGTAAGTTTTCATATTTCACTTTAGTTTTAAGTCATTGCATGCTAGATACATCTAGATTAGAGTTTTTGCATTTGATAGGATGTGTTAAGAAATACAAGCTTATAGACTAGACAATCAGTTTTATCACTTGTTTTTGTTTACCAAAGTGTTCTCCTGTAAAACTAATTAGCTAAAGAAATTGGCTAAATATCTCTTTCTCGTTAGACCTGGCATGGTCAGGTGGTTAAGGTGCTTAACTCCCCATCTAAGGGTCATGGGTTCAAATTCCAATCCCACCAAACTTGCTTGCCCTTTCAGCCATGGGGCATTCTTATGTGACAGTGTAACATTAAATTTTTATATTGAAAGTCATGTATGATTGATCCATGTATAGCTGTATCGTCCTTATATTCTTGTTTGTAATATTTTTGGCAATTTTTTTTATTACTTGTTTTGTGAATTTTTGCCCTGACTAAAAGTTAGTGTATTCTATGAATATGTGTAATAAAATTTACTATTATGTGTATTGATTTTTTTTTCCTCCCTTACTTCATACATAATATAAAGATTGGCTTACTAAAGACACTGATTGTATACTGTACAAAGCATTGAGTATTCTACATCTTATAGTCATCCAAGATTGATATTTTATTGACTGGTAATTCCTGTCTTACCCTGTACTTAAGCTTTTTAAAGAACACCAGATTTCTGTAAAAAAAGCTAATTTTAAGTGGTAATGATGACATCGTTTACACTAAAATTACTTTTTTTAAATTACTAGTCATTATGACTAAGTGATGACATCATACACTGCCCAAAAACAGAGTGGATTTAGGTTTAAACTGACATTAGTGATAAAGTAGTTGTAGAGAAGAAAAAAGATAAACAATCTGGTGGGTTGGTCACTTTCTGGTTTGGTATCATAGCAATGGTTTATTGCCTTGTTTTTGGGCTTGTTGAGTAGAAAAACAATTGAAAGTGAGTGGCAAACATCTTTTAAATTAAAACTCTCCGTTACTGTTGATTTTTTAGCATATTTGTATTATGGATATTAAGTACATTGTCCATCCCAACATATAGTCTACCCATTCTATGATATCAAGTCAGGATGTAAGAACACCACGTCTAATAAAATGGTTATTTTTCTTGTAGCTTCGGCTAATAGACTGGGGCTTAGCAGAATTTTATCACTCAGGTCAGGAATACAATGTCCGTGTAGCATCTAGGTACTTCAAAGGTCCAGAACTTTTAGTGGATTATCAGGTATTGATATTTCTTTGGTACTGAGTTGAGTATTTTAATTGGGAGTTAGCTGCTACAGATGGAAAAGAGCAATCATTATATTGAATAGATTCTTTTTCTAATATCTCTATAGACTCAACTCTGTATGTTTTTTTACTTAAGTAATAAATATTATCAATTATTGTTAACATTTTATATTAAATAATAGTTTTTAATAAGTTTATCATGCAAAACAACAAATTCTTATTTCATGGGTATCTTAGAGTATATCTAAATCAATATGATTAATGTAATTTGTTTCATTCAGATGTATGACTACTCCTTGGACATGTGGAGCCTAGGTTGTATGTTAGCCAGTATGATATTTAGGAAGGAACCATTTTTTCATGGACATGATAATTATGACCAGGTGAGAATCTGGCATTGTTCTAGCTACCTGTTTGAGCAAGTAGAGTAGTGATTACATTTCTTTCATGGGATTCTGATCAGATGATATGCTCAGTATGTTTTGTAAACATGTAAGTTGTTTTGTAAATGTGAATATAAGTAGTTAAATTATTACAGTTTTTCATTAATGACTAGGATCACGTGATGATATAATACATTTTCATGAACACGACTAAGGTGAGGTGACAGTCTTGTGCTGTTTACATGCATTGTTTTTTATTGGTATTTGACACTTATAATTTTCATGAATGAACCATTTCATCACAGAATTAACTGATCATGGGAGGGTCTTACATTCCTTTGTAAACATCTCTACAATCAGTTGAGGATAAGACATTCCTGATGCATACTTTTTGAAGTCATTCTTTCTTAAACATATGGTTAGAATTCATAGTTAGTACTTTAAGTTAGTTTGTTTCATTAGAAGAAATCTTCCACAATCGTGACTATGACCAAGACATTACCCTTAACGTTCATTCAGTAGATATAATTTTCAAAAATAAACCATTCTTTCAAGAGTTTGAACAGATGAGAACCTGAGTGTTCTGGCTTTGTGTGAAGCAAATATAATATTCAAGAAGGAACATTTTTTTACTTGCCCTTGTTTTAGATATGTATTTTGTTCTGTAAGTATACAGTATTGATTCATATTTGGTTATGATTAACTAGTTCTTTCTGTGCTTTGTTGATTTTATATGAAATCTTTCTGGTGGTAAGTGAATTTCCAAAACATCTTTCATTTACAGCTTGTACGGATAGCAAAGGTGTTAGGAACTGAGGAATTGTATGAATATCTGGATAAGTACCAAATTGAACTAGACCCAAAATTTAATGACATACTGGGAAGGTGAGTTTCATACTGATTCTTTATTTTTTATCGTGCATCTTAGGTATAGATATTGTCATAGCTCAAAATATATTGAAAAGATGTATGTACTTTTCAAAGAAGATCATCATGGTTGATAAATTTGTGATGATATTTTTCTTTGTTGTAGTTTCTGTTTTTGTAAAGTTAAGGACATGGTAATATATATCTAGATGTAACTTCTACTTGCAGCATCCTTTTGTAGTTTTACAATCAATCAAAACAAAATGGTTGATTTCATGATTTCACTTTTGATTTTCTAGACACTCGCGTAAACGATGGGAAAGATTTGTTCACAGTGAAAACCAGCACTTAGTAAGTCCAGAAGCACTGGATTTCTTGGACAAACTATTGCGATATGATCACCAGGAAAGACTAACAGCTCGTGAAGCTATGGAACATCCTTACTTTTGTAAGTTTTATAACCTAATTTAATTTCACTTCAATTTTTATTAAATTACTGGGGTGAAACTGTATTTTTAAATACTTGCAGTAAGGTTGTGGTTATCAGATATAAATCATTACCATGATTAGTCACCCATACGATCACCTCAGTAGAAGGTTTCTTTTATCTTGTTTGCAGTCATAATTCATTAATATTATTCTATTTTAAAGTGTGATCCTATCTGACATTTATGGGTTATTGCAGATAGATTCGTGTTATTGAGTCTTGTATGTTTTTTATGCTCTTGAATTCTGAATTTTGTTGGTATGTTTGTTTCTCCAATTTCATCTTTTGGGAATTTTATCACTGGATGTTCTTGTTCAAGTGGTTCATGAAACTTGTTTGTAATGTGTGACATCTAAGTAATATATCTTCATTATATCGGAGCCAAGTTCTAGTTCATTGAGTGACCATTTTGAGGGTGCTATCCTCAAAATGTTTCGTGTAGAGTTTACTGAGAGTAGACTTTTTTGTTGTTGTTGGTAGTATTTATCTTCACGCTGAAAGTGAGTTGTGTTGATACAGATGCTTCTTTGTTACTTAGTTCATAACAAATTAATGTTAGAAACACTTCAATTATTTTTTATTTAAATTTCAACATATCTACATATATCTTGTAATTTTTACGCTTCTTGATGTACTGTTGCTATCTAGTATTATTGTTTTTGAAAGGCAGTTCTAAAAAAAAAGTAAATAGCATTCTAGAAACATTACTTACCTTTTCAATGTTTCCAATCTAGCTGGAGCTAAGTTAGTTGTAATTAAACAGGAATCCTATTTGTGTAGATAGATTAATGGTGTTACATATTATTAGTCTACGTGTAATAACTTCTGACAAACACAATTATATGAGCAAGCTATTTGACAATCAAAAAATGTTTTTAGTGAATAAAGTATGATGAATATTAACTTGCTGTAACTTTTTTTTATTTAGCAAAGTAATCTTACCTTAAGTCCTTGTACACAACCAGAAATTCTTTTTAAGCAGTGTGCACACTCTCAGTTCTAAAAAAAGAAAGATCTCTAGAAATATATTTATGTCTGCAGAGAGACATATTGTTTTTCTTTTGTATCTTTCTTCTTCTTCCAAAAACTTTTCAGTCAACCACCATTCCTTCATTTCTTTGCAGATTGATGTGAAACTTAGTAGTGTTCTAACTTGATCCAATACACCCAAACACCTTTTTCATTTTTTAAGAATTTTATGGGGTCAGAGATCAAACAACCCAAAAATATATATTTTTGGCTCCTGTGGCATCATAGTTACAGCAACCAAGATGGAAGTTGACACAAATATAAATTTTCATGTGCCCAACACATTGACATATAAAATACTTGGATTTGCCCATTTTGAATATTTTATTTCTTAAAAGGGTCAAATCTCACAAAAATGCATAATTTGGGCGGTTTTGGTAATTTTCGGAGGGGTCAAAAGGTCAAATAAACCCATAATTTTAGGGGTTTTGATCAATTACTTAGCCTTGTTTTGACCAATTTACATGGAATTTGGTACAAAGATACTTTTCTACAGGCAACACACGTTGAGAAACAAAAATGTTAGACTTGCCCACTTTTTGGAATTCTTGTCTTTTGCTCAATTTTTCAGTGAAGAAAGTACTATTCAAGTGTATGTATGTCCACCAACTTAACCCTTTCAAAACGGGTCACAGGTGAAAGGCCATGTCATCTTGTTTGTTGACTCGAATTCAAAATTTTATTGAACTACTATTTCATGAATTTATGTCAAAAAGTTTGGTACCAAACTTTAGATTATAATTCAAATTTTAAAACTATACATTACTCGACTTGTTAATTTAAAAGTAAATATTTACAAAACACAGATAAAAATTGATTTTTGTGTGTCACGTGGTATGTTGAATGTAGCACTGGTTCAAATTAGACGTTTGTGAAGTCAAAATACTAAGTCTATAGTTTCATACGAATTAGGAACTCAAATTACAGATATTGACAAGCTAGAATGCAAAATACGAAGGTCTTATTTTTTTCTACTTGCTAAGATATTGCTCATGTAATAAATCAAACACAGTGGCACCCCGCTCACCTCTTTGAATTTTTGGAAATGCTCCTTTATATACACTTCTATATATGACATGAATAACCAAATGGAAACTCAGAATGTCCCCCTCGTGGCTTTCTCAGCCATTTTAACGGGGTTGGTGACATTTCTTTCTTTTGAACCAATATTTCAGCGATGTAGGTTGTGTCTTTGGTCTGCTCGAAATTTCATATTTTTTTTAGACTAAAATAAATCTTAGTTACTAAGCTTGATAAAGTATAGTAGAAAAAAAAGTATATGTAAAACCTAAAAAAATATTTTGTTTCATATCCTCTATGTGCAAAATTTTTAAAGGCTTAGCAACCTATGTCAGGCATCAACCGAGTACAAAGGTCGTAACTAGAAGAGATAATTATTTGCTTTACTTCTTTATTTACTGTTCTATGTTTTAGAAAAATAGAAATCTATATATAATGTATAATAATTGAAATGTGACAGTGTTTTTTACAAAAATACTAGTCGACTAAAACACAGCCAAGACAAGTTACTTTGTACAGACCAAAGGTCACCTTTATGTTATTTGATACGATAACATGAGTGTACGTGAGCCACGTCATTTTATTTCTGTATTGTTAGCCAGGCATGGATGAAGGTCAATATAATAAAAATAATAAATGTATAATGTTATGAGATTTAAGTTATTTCATCTAAACATTTATATTTTTGTGTTATAATTTGTGTTCATTCTAGAATGAAAGAGGCATAACTTATGTTTATTTCCTAATTTTTTGCTGGTTGTGAGAATGGTCAAATTTACTGAACCCGTACAGAGATTA